TTGTGTTCGAACTCGTGCTAAACCTATACCCCAAACACTCAACCTTTTCCTTCCCAGTTTCTGTTTTCCCATATAATATTAATCTTTCCGTAGGATTATTATTATTTTGGGATTTTACAACCATATTACCCAACAATATTTGAAAAAATAGAGAGAAGATGAGGGAAAATGGATTCAAGCAGCCTTCTTATTTCATACCGCAGAGACGCTGTTCTAGAGAAAGATAGTCTCCTAAACGATGAAGTGGCCTCCCCTTAGGCAATTGTGTGAATGACCCTTATATAGGCCCAAATAATATTGGCTTTTTTACTATGACCCAAAACGTTTAACCCTAACCTGATTCGAGAACAAGGGCATGGAACATTTAGGGAGGTCAAATCCGAGGTGTGAAGCCATGGAAAGGAGATGCATGGTTAAAGATGGCATGTAGACTAATTAAGTATGGTCATCCCACTACTCATGTAACAGATTAAGTGGTAGACAAAACTTAGTTACTTACCGTTCTTCAAGCAATGTAACAGGAGATTACCACTATGGCTGGAGATGTTTAACCGTATGCTACCACTATGAGGTTAGATTATTATTACAAGTACAATGATTGTACAAAGTGGGTTCATATGTGGGATCTGTGAGAAACCTACAATACAGATGGTTGGACTAAACATGCATTTTGTTCCAAATCCCCACGGCCCACAGACGGCATCATTTGATGAAGTTAATTCATTCAAAGTATTTTTCATTTATTGAATGCGTATGGAAATATTTGAAAAATATAGAGAAGATGAGGGAAAATGGATTCAAACAGCCTTCTTATTTCATACCGCAGAGACACTGTTCTAGAGAAAGAGAGTCTCCTAAGCGATGAAGTGGCCTCCCCTTAGGCAATTGTGTGAATGACCCTTATATAGGCCCAAATAATATTGGCTTTTTTACTATGACCCAAAACGTTTAACCTTAACCGGATTACAGAACAGGGGCATGGAACATTTAGGGAGGTCAAATCCTAGGAATATTCTCTATCAAGTAAAATGGGTGTGTATAGCAGTGTATATGAAAATTGATTCCCGAACCTAATATAAACTCCATCGAAGGTGCATATGAAAGTGTAAGTTAAATTGTAGAGAGAAGATGGAGAGAAATTAGCTCTTTAGAGCTTTTCCTTATTCATGGACTCCTTTTAAGGTATTTAATCCCTTCATTTGTACAAAATGTCATAAAAATATTATGTATATTTTCTTCTTGTCATTTTTACTCCTTATAATTTGCTTAGAATGCAAGTTGGTGGTGGACATAGGAATTCAATTTCGCGAGAATAGCAAAATCATATTAATGAATCAAATAAAAAAGTTGTAGTAATTGAGGACTTTTGGTTTCTTTTCCATTAGGGTTCATGAGCAATGAAGATTTGAGACTAGTATTTACTACTTCCTCCGTCCCATTTTATATGTCTGTTTCAGTTAACGAGGATTAATTGAAGTTATTTTTAATTCTATTTTTCGTAATATTATGTTTAGTATTAGTATAAAAAAAATTCTATATTTCGAAACTACACTAAAAGTACTATTAAACACAAAAAATAAAATTCAAAGAAAACTTTGTAATTTGCCTTTATTGTGTTGACATTGTGTGAAATTTTCACTAATTAGAGGAAGAAGAAAGCAAAGATGTCTAGTGTTACGTTCTTGGTGTGCAGTTGCGGAATTGAAGAACGTCGTCTATGGAATTGCATATGGATTATAAGCAATGCCAGGCAAGTATAGTATATTAGGCACCAATGAGGTGAATGGACGAGATCGCCCTCCATTTTAACGTTGGCTTGGCGAAGAAGGACTAAATTGGGGGAGTTTTTGAAAGTTAATGAACCGCATTTGGAGTATTTGAAAGTCAAAATACAAAATTGACATTGAGCAATAATCGGACCATTTTTTTTTTTTAAAAAAAAACTCCAATAATTTAACTTTTCACCATATTTAGTGTTATTTTAAAATTATTTTAATATGAAACAATTAAATAATAAAATACTAATTGATCTTAAATTGTTATATCACTTTACAAGAAAAACTCAAGATAGATACATCATCATGTGCATTCGAGTTTAAACTTTAAATAAAGTTTTTTCTTATCATTATCTGTGGAAAAACAGAATTCAAATCACAAGTACTTGCCTAGTGAATTTTTTTTTTTTTTTTTTTTGGGCGGTGGGGTGGGAGTTGGTTCTTCAATGAAATTATCAACACGATCTACGGTAATAAATAATGGATTATTATAAATAATTGAATTAAATTTCCATGATCAGAGTGGTGTAGTGGAAGCGTGGAGGGCCCATAACCCACAGGTCCCAGGATCGAAACCTGGCTCTTATAAGAATAGCTTTTGATATTTTTTTTAAATACTTCTTTCTGTATTAGATATAAATATGATTCTGACTAGGGATTTGTAAATAGGGGATGTAGCAAAAATGGTAGAGTGCTCGCTTTGCATGCGAGAGGCACGGGGTTCGATCCTTCGCATCTCCAGATTGGTACATACATTTGTAGGACAACATCGAGAACATAGAGGAGTGAAGTCACGGAAAGGCCCTACTCCCTTAACTAGATTAAGTGGTGACAAAACTTAGTTACTTACCGTTTTTCAAGCAATGTGGGATCTGAGAAACCTACCTGATTGTACAAAGTGACAAAGCGGGTTCATATGTGGGATCTGTGAGAAACCTACCATAAAATTGGTTGGACTAAATATGCATTTTGTTCCAAATCCCCACGGCCCACAGACGACATCATTTGATGAAGTTAATTCATTCAATGTATTTTTTATTTATTGAATGCGCGTGGAAATATTTGAAAAAATAGAGAGAAGATGAGGGAAAATGGATTCAAGCAGCCTTCTTATTTCATACCGCAGAGACGCTGTTCTAGAGAAAGATAGTCTCCTAAACGATGAAGTGGCCTCCCCTTAGGCAATTGTGTGAATGACCCTTATATAGGCCCAAATAATATTGGCTTTTTTACTATGACCCAAAACGTTTAACCCTAACCTGATTCGAGAACAAGGGCATGGAACATTTAGGGAGGTCAAATCCGAGGTGTGAAGCCATGGAAAGGAGATGCATGGTTAAAGATGGCATGCAGACTAATTAAGTATGGTCATCCCACTACTCATGTAACAGATTAAGTGGTAGACAAAACTTAGTTACTTACCGTTCTTCAAGCAATGTAACAGGAGATTACCACTATGGCTGGAGATGTTTAACCGTATGCAACCACTATGAGGTTAGATTATTATTACAAGTACAATGATTGTACAAAGGGGGTTCATATGTGGGATCTGTGAGAAACCTACCATACACATGCTTGGACTAAACATGCATTTTGTTCCAAATCCCCTCGGCCCACAGACGGCATCATTTGATGAAGTTAATTCATTCAATGTATTTTTTATTTATTGAATGCGTATGGAAATATTTGAAAAATATAGAGAAGATGAGGGAAAATGGATTCAAACAGCCTTCTTATTTCATACCGCAGAGACACTGTTCTAGAGAAAGAGAGTCTCCTAAGCGATGAAGTGGCCTCCCCTTAGGCAATTGTGTGAATGACCCTTATATAGGCCCAAATAATATTGGCTTTTTTACTATGACCCAAAACGTTTAACCCTAACCTGATTACAGAACAGGGGCATGGAACATTTAGGGAGGTCAAATCCTAGGAATATTCTCTATCAAGTAAAATGGGTGTGTATAGCAGTGTATATGAAAATTGATTCCCGAACATAATATAAACTCCATCGAAGGTGCATATGAAAGTGTAAGTTAAATTGTAGAGAGAAGATGGAGAGAAATTAGCTCTTTTGAGCTTTTCCATATTCAAGGACTCCTTTTAAGGTATTTAATCCCTTCATTTGTACAAAATGTCATAAAAATATTATGTATATTTTCTTCTTGTCATTTTTACTCCTTATAATTTGCTTAGAATGCAAGTTGGTGGTGGACATAGGAATTCAATTTCGCGAGAATAGCAAAATCATATTAATGAATCAAATAAAAAAGTTGTAGTAATTGAGGACTTTTGGTTTCTTTTCCATTAGGGTTCATGAGCAATGAAGATTTGAGACTAGTATTTACTACTTCCTCCGTCCCATTTTATATGTCTGTTTCAGTTAACGAGGATTAATTGAAGTTATTTTTAATTCTATTTTTCGTAATATTATGTTTAGTATTAGTATAAAAAAATTCTATATTTCGAAACTACACTAAAAGTACTATTAAACACAAAAAATAAAATTCAAAGAAAACTTTGTAATTTGCCTTTATTGTGTTGACATTGTGAGAAATTTTCACTAATTAGAGGAAGAAGAAAGCAAAGATGTCTAGTGTTACGTTCTTGGTGTGCAGTTGCGGAATTGAAGAACGTCGTCTATGGAATTGCATATGGATTATAAGCAATGCCAGGCAAGTATAGTATATTAGGCACCAATGAGATGAATGGACAAGATCGCCCTCCATTTTAACGTTGGCTTGGCGAAGAAGGACTAAATTGGGGTAGTTTTTGAAAGTCAATGAACCGCATTTGGTGTATTTGAAAGTCAAAATACAAAATTGAGATTGAGCAATAATCGGACCATTTAAAAAAAAAAAAAAAAAAAACTCCAATAATTTAACTTTTCACCATATTTAGTGTTATTTTAAAATAATTTTAATATGATACAATTAAATAATAAAATACTAATTGATCTTAAATTGTTATATCACTATACAAGAAAAACTCAAGATAGATACATCATCATGTGCATTAGAGTTTAAACTTTAAATAAAGTATTTTCTTATCATTATCTGTGGAAAAACAGAATTCAAATCACAAGTACTTGCCTAGTGAATTTTTTTATTTTTTTTTTTGGGCCGGGGGGGGGGGGGGGGGTGGGAGGGGGTTCTTCAATGAACTTATCAACACGATCTACGGCAATAAATAATGGATTATTGTAAATAATTGAATTAAATTTCAATGTTCAGAGTGGCACAGTGGAAGTGTGGTGAGCCCATAACCCATAGGTCCCAGGATCAAAACCTGGCTCTGATAAGAATGACTTTTGATATTTTTTTAAATACTTCTTTCTGTATTCGATATAAATATGATTCTGACTAGAGATTTGTAAATAGGGGATGTAGCTCAAATGGTAGAGCGCTCACTTTGCATGCGAGAGGCACGGGGTTCGATCCCCCGCATCTCCAGATTGGTACATACATTCGTAGGACAACATTGAGAACATAGAGGTGTGAAGACACGGAAAGGCCCTACTCCTGTAATAGATTGAGGTGTGAAGACACGGAAAGCCCTACTCCTGTGATAGATTAAGTGTTCAAGCAATGTATGAGGTCAGATTATTATTACAAGTACAAAGTGGGTTCATATGTGGGATTTGTGAGAAACCTACCATACATATGGTTGGACTAAACATGCCTTTTGTTCCAAATCCCCACGGCGTCATTTGATGAAGTTAATTCATTCAATGTATTTTTTATTTGTTGAATGCGCATGGAAATATTTGAAAAAATAGAGAGAAGATGAGGGAAAATGGATTCAAACACCCTTCTTATTTCATACCGCAGAGACGCTGTTCTAGAGAAAGATAGTCTCCTAAGCGATGAAGTGGCCTCCCCTTAGGCAATTGTGTGAATGACCCTTATATTGGCCCAAATAATATTGGCTTTCCCCCACGGCGTCATTTGATGAAGTTAATTCATTCAATGTAATTTTTATTTGTTGAATGCGCATGGAAATATTTGAAAAAATAGAGAGAAGATGAGGGAAAATGGATTCAAACTGAGGACTTTTGGTTTCTTTTCCATTAGGGTTCATGAGCAATGAAGATTTGAGACTAGTATTTACTACTTCCTCCGTCCCATTTTATATGTCTGTTTCAGTTAACGAGGATTAATTGAAGTTATTTTTAATTCTATTTTTCGTAATATTATGTTTAGTATTAGTATAAAAAAATTCTATATTTCGAAACTACACTAAAAGTACTATTAAACACAAAAAATAAAATTCAAAGAAAACTTTGTAATTTGCCTTTATTGTGTTGACATTGTGAGAAATTTTCACTAATTAGAGGAAGAAGAAAGCAAAGATGTCTAGTGTTACGGTCTTGGTGTGCAGTTGCGGAATTGAAGAATGTCGTCTATGGAATTGCATATGGATTATAAGCAATGCCAGGCAAGTATAGTATATTAGGCACCAATGAGATGAATGGACAAGATCGCCCTCCATTTTAACGTTGGCTTGGCGAAGAAGGACTAAATTGGGGTAGTTTTTGAAAGTCAATGAACCGTATTTGGTGTATTTGAAAGTCAAAATACAAAATTGAGATTGAGCAATAATCGGACCATTTTTTTTTTAAAAAAAAAACTCCAATAATTTAACTTTTCACCATATTTAGTGTTATTTTAAAATAATTTTAATATGATACAATTAAATAATAAAATACTAATTGATCTTAAATTGTTATATCACTATACAAGAAAAACTCAAGATAGATACATCATCATGTGCATTAGAGTTTAAACTTTAAATAAAGTATTTTCTTATCATTATCTGTGGAAAAACAGAATTCAAATCACAAGTACTTGCCTAGTGAATTTTTTTATTTTTTTTTTGGGCGGGGGGGGGGGGGGGGGGGGGGGTGGGAGGGGGTTCTTCAATGAACTTATCAACACGATCTACGGTAATAAATAATGGATTATTGTAAATAATTGAATTAAATTTCCATGATCAGAGTGGCGCAGTGGAAGCGTGGTGGGCCCATAACCCATAGGTCCCAGGATCAAAACCTGGCTCTGATAAGAATGGCTTTTGATATTTTTTTTAAATACTTCTTTCTGTATTAGACATAAATATGATTTTGACTTGAGATTTGTAAATAGGGGATGTAGCTCAAATGGTAGAGCGCTCACTTTGCATGCGAGAGGCACGGGGTTCGATCCCCCGCATCTCCAGATTGGTACATACATTCGTAGGACAACATTGAGAACATAGAGGTGTGAAGACACGGAAAGCCCTACTCCTGTGATAGATTAAGTGTATGAGGTCAGATTATTATTACAAGTACAAAGTGGGTTCATATGTGGGATTTGTGAGAAACCTACCATACATATGGTTGGACTAAACATGCCTTTTGTTCCAAATCCCCACGGCGTCATTTGATGAAGTTAATTCATTCAATGTATTTTTTATTTGTTGAATGCGCATGGAAATATTTGAAAAAATAGAGAGAAGATGAGGGAAAATGGATTCAAACACCCTTTTTATTTCATACCGCAGAGACGCTGTTCTAGAGAAAGATAGTCTCCTAAGCGATGAAGTGGCCTCCCCTTAGGCAATTGTGTGAATGACCCTTATATTGGCCCAAATAATATTGGCTTTCCCCCACGGCGTCATTTGATGAAGTTAATTCATTCAATGTAATTTTTATTTGTTGAATGCGCATGGAAATATTTGAAAAAATAGAGAGAAGATGAGGGAAAATGGATTCAAACACCCTTCTTATTTCATACCGCAGAGACGCTGTTCTAGAGAAAGATAGTCTCCTAAGCGATGAAGTGGCCTCCCCTTAGGCAATTGTGTGAATGACCCTTATATAGGCCCAAATAATATTGGCTTTTTTACTATGACCCAAAACGTTTAACCCTAACCTGATTCGAGAACAGGGGCATGGAACATTTAGGGAGGTCAAATCCGAGGTGTGAAGCCACGGAAAGGTGATGCATGGTTAAAGATGGCATGTAGACTAATTAAGTATGGTCATCCCACTACTCATGTAACAGATTAAGTGGTAGACAAAACTTAGTTACTTACCGTTCTTCAAGCAATGTAACAGGAGATTACCACTATGGCTGGAGATGTTTAACCGTATGCTACCACTATGAGGTTAGATTATTATTACAAGTACAATGATGGTACAAAGTGGGTTCATATGTGGGATCTGTGAGAAACCTACTATACAGATGGTTGGACTAAACATGCATTTTGTTCCAAATCCCCACGGCCCACAGACGGCATCATTTGATGAAGTTAATTCATTCAATGTATTTTTTATTTATTGAATGCGTATGGAAATATTTGAAAATAGAGAGAAGATGAGGGAAAATGGATTCAAACAGCCTTCTTATTTAATACCGCAGAGACGCTATTCTAGAGAAAGAGAGTCTCCTAAGCGATGAAGTGGCCTCCCCTCAGGCAATTGTGTGAATGACCCTTATATAGGCCCAAATAATATTGGCTTTTTTACTATGACCCAAAACGTTTAACCCTAACCTAATTACAGAACAGGGGCATGGAACATTTAGGGAGGTCAAATCCGAGGAATATTCTCTATCAAGTAAAATGGGTGTGTATAGCAGTGTATAAGAAAATTGATTCACGAACCTAATATAAACTCCATCGAAGGTGCATATGAAAGTGTAAGTTAAATTGTAGAGAGAAGATTGAGAGAAATTAGCTCTTTAGAGCTTTTCCTTATTCAAGGACTCCTTTTAAGGTATTTAATCCCTTCATTTATACAAAATGTCATAAAAACATTATGTATATTCTCTTCTTGTCATTTTTACTCCTTATAATTTGCTTAGAATGCAAGTTGGTTGTAGACATAGGAATTCAATTTCGCGAGAATAGCAAAATCATATTAATGAATCAAATAAAAAAGTTGTAGTAATTGAGGACTTTTGGTTTCTTTTCCATTAGGGTTCATGAGCAATGAAGATTTGAGACTAGTATTTACTACTTCCTCCGTCCCATTTTATATGTCTGTTTCAGTTAACGAGGATTAATTGAAGTTATTTTTAATTCTATTTTTCATAATATTATGTTTAGTATTATTATAAAAAAAATTTCTATATTTCGAAACTACACTAAAAGTACTATTAAACACAAAAAATAAAATTCAAAGAAAACTTTGTGATTTGCCTTTATTGTGTTGACATCGTGAGAAATTTTCACTAATTAGAGGAAGAAGAAAGCAAAGATGTCTAGTGTTACGTTCTTGGTGTGCAGTTGCGGAAGAACGTCGTCTATGGAATTGCATATGGATTATAAGCAATGCATGGCAAGTATAGTATATTAGGCACCAATGAGGTGAGTGGACGAGATCGCCCTCCATTTTAACGTTGGCTTGGCGAAGAAGGACTAAATTGGGGGAGTTTTTGAAAATCAAGGAACCGCATTTGGTGCATTTGAAAGTCAAAATGCAAAATTGAGATTGAGCAATAATCGGAGGACCATTTTTTTTTTTTTTTAAAAAACTCCAATAATTTAACTTTTCACCATATTTAGTATTATTTTAAAATAATTTTAATATGATATAATTACATAATAAAATACTAATTGATCTTAAATTGTTATATCACTATACAAGAAAAACTCAAGATAGATACATCATCATGTGCATTAGAGTTTAAACTTTAAATAAAGTATTTTCTTATCATTATCTGTGGAAAAACAGATTTCAAATCACTACTTGCCTAGTGAATTTTTTTTTTTTGAGGGGGGGTGGGGAGGGGGTTCTTCAATGAACTTATCAACACGATCTACGGTAATAAATAATGGATTATTGTAAATAATTGAATTAAATTTCCATGATCAGAGTGGCGCAGTGGAAGCGTGGTGGGCCCATAACCCATAGGTCCCAGGATCAAAACCTGGCTCTGATAAGAATGGCTTTTGATATTTTTTTTAAATACTTCTTTCTGTATTAGATATAAATATGATTTTGACTTGAGATTTATAAATAGGGGATGTAGCTCAAATGGTAGAGCGCTCACTTTGCATGCGAGAGGCACGGGGTTCGATCCCTCGCATCTCCAGATTGGTACATATATTCGTAGGACAAGATTGAGAGCATAGAGGTGTGAAGACACGGAAAGGCCCTACTCCTGTGATGAGTATGAGGTCAGATTATTATTACAAGTACAAAGTGGGTTCATACGTGGGATTTGTGAGAAACCTACCATACATATGGTTGGACTAAACATGCCTTTTGTTCCAAATCCCCAGGGCGTCATTTGATGAAGTTAATTCATTCAATG